AATAGCATCGGAAGAGGAGTGCGCTATCTGCCCTCAGGAAGTTCATCATCAAAGGATGGATGGACGGACTAGTGGGTCTTGTCAGGGAGTCACAGAAAGTATAATCCAGCAGGCAAAGCCAGGCCTGGTGATGGGGAGACTGATATGGTGGGGTGAGAAGTTTGGGGTGAGATGCAAGGTGCTTTGTAGCTAGATAGGACTGGTCAAGAGCCCACCCCACCACCCGTTGGCTGTGCATTTTGGGGGTATGATCAGTCAGGTTTGGGTCAGAGAAGCAGAAACACCATATGGGCTGTGGGGTGTGTGTGTGATAAGAGTTTGACCCTGGGCATATTTACCCCAAAGATACAAATGTAGGGATCCGAAGGGGTATGTGCACCCCAATGTTTATGGCAGCAATGTCCACAATATCCAAACTGTGGAAAGAGCCAAGATGTCCATCGACAGATGAATGGATAAAGAAGGTGTGGTATATATACACAATGGAATATTATGCAGCCATCAAAAGGAATGAGATCTTGCCATTTGCAACGACGTGGATGGAACTGGAGGGTGTTATGTTGAGTGAAATAAGTCAATCAGAGAAAGACATGTATCATATGACCTCGCTGATATGAGGAATTCTTAATCTCAGGAAACAAACTGAGGGTTGCTGGAGTGGTGGGGGGTGGGAGGGATGGGGTGGCTGGGTGATAGACATTGGGGAGGGTATGTGCTATGGTGAGCGCTGTGAATTGTGCAAGACTGTTGAATCACAGATCTGTACTTCTGAAACAAATAATGCAACATATGTTAAGAAAAAAGAAAAAGAAGAAGATAGCAGGAGGGGAAGAATGAAGGGGAGTAAGTCGGAGGGGGAGACGAACCAGGAGAGACGGTGGACTCTGAAAAACAAACTGAGGGTTCTAGAGGGGAGGGGGGGGAGGGGGATGGGTTAGCCTGGTGATGGGTATTAAGGAGGGCATATTCTGTGTGGAGCACTGGGTGTTATGCACAAACAATGAATCATGGAACACTACATCCAAAACTAATGATGTAATGTATGGTGATTAACGTAACAATAAACATTTAAAATAAAAAAAAAAAACCAAGAGTTTGACCCTGGGCAATCGCAGGGGTTGGCTACCCAGTGTGTCTGGGACTATTTTTCCTGTGTCTGGGGCTGGAGCCTACAGCTCTCGGGGCAGGTGGTGGGGAAGAGAAGGTTGGAGGGTGCAAGGACAAGCTGGAAACCAAAGCTGAGCTGGAACCACTGTCAGTCAGTCTCTCACCATCTCCACGCTCCAATTTGGACGACAGCACAGGTGTCCTGCAGGAAACTCTGGCGCACTTTGTCCTGGAGCTAAAACGCTCCTGGCCCAGGAGACAGGCAGGTGGTACAGAAGATCCAGCAGGAGCTGGGGGAGCCTCGGGCCTGCCTGTGGTCCCAACCATGCAGGATGTCAGCAGATAAGCCACAATGTTCGAAATTGCCACAACGCCCCATGCCCTGCCCCAACCTCCTGAGAGTGAAGGAATATGGCTGCACTTTCTAAATCTTGTACGAAAACCCCTCCTGTTAAGTACAAATGCCCATGCTAACTCGAAACTGCGCAGGAAGGGGACTTCTAGGAAATGCAGTTACAGCTTAGCTAAACTGACCCAGTACGAATCCACCACAGGGCAAGTTACTTAATTCTCTGGGCCTCAGTCTCCTCATCTGTGAAATGGGAGTTATAACCCCTTAACTGTGAGGACTGAGTGATACAAAACATGGAGCAGCCCCCCTGGTCATCAACCAATATTGGCTACTTTCTGCCAGCCTTCAGCTTCCCTCCTGAGGGAGATGAGGGGAGCACCTCCAGATTATTAGCATAAGGAAAACGTTTTGAGAAGATTACCTGGTTAGAAGGTAGCAAATTAGTGGAAAGGGAAGGAGGAATATGGGTTTTGTAAGCCTGAATATGGGTTTTGTAAGGCTGATATAAATAACATATTATTTATATCAATTATTATGTTATTACATAATATTATTAAAGTATACACAACTGGGGCACAGGGAGCCCGATGTGGGACTCGATCCCAGGACCCTGGGATCATGACCTGAGCCGAAGGCAGATGCTTAACCATCTGAGCCACCCAGGCGCCCAAATAAATAAATAAAATCTTTAAAAAAAAAAAGAATACACAACTAAGAATATAAAATAAGTACAAATGTATTTACTTACAATGAGAAAATAAATCACAAGTTACATTTTTTTAAAGTTGCCAAATATCACTAACATTGAAAAATTCAGAAAAGTAAAATACCTGTATTAATTAATTGTCTGACTCTCTAATACCCTTTTATGTACATCTTTGTGTAATCTTTGCCTCTGCATATGACAACCTTTTGTAATATGCACCGTATCAAGAACAGAAAGTTAATTCAGTCTTTCTTCTAGAATGATCTATCTAAGTGTTCATTACTGACAATTTAGAAGAGTTTCTTTTGGGGTGCCTGGGTGGCTCAGCCGTTAAGTGTCTGCCTTCGGCTCACAGTCATGATCCCAGCTCCGCGGGAGGACTGCTTCTCCCTCTCCCACTCCCTCTGCTTGTGCTCCCTCTCTCACTGTCTCTCTCTCTGTCAAAAAATAAATAAAATCTTTAAAAAAAAAAAGTTTCTTTTGACCTGACCATTTGTTGCTGATATATAGTATAAAGACACTTCTCAAAAAAAAAAAAAAAAAAAAAAAGAACGCCACAGCCTCCCCAGCACCACCCTGTAGGAGAAGTTCGTTAAAGAAGAACTCACAGATGGAAGAGACAGAGGTCCTAAAAAATGTGGCTAAAATCTCTTACTTTGCAGATTTCGGAGAAGCATATGACCATGTGAACACCGTGAGGGCAGCCCCTTCCATGATAGTGGAAGAGGTTGTGCAAGGGTGGGGGGGTGGGGAGGCTGGGGTTAGGCTTTTGGTAGTTTCACAGTAAATCTGCTTCCAAAAGGGAGAAGCTGCAGAAAGGAACCCGCGTTCACATTATATGCAATAACCGAGGAGTTGCATGATGCCCTGGGGGTTATATATGGAACCAGACAAAGGACAGCGGATGCTTAGGCATTTTCCACAAGAAATGCAACAGGATTGGCTTCTTGTTCTCTTTAGGTGGAGGATCTCTGTGGAAGTCAGGGTCATCTAGCGAGTACCTCAAAAGTAAAAGTCTTCCAGCCAGCAGGAACAGGAAAAGGAAAATGCCAAGCTCCAAGAACTGGCCTTTCCACGGTGATGAAGCCTGCTCAGCAGTTACTTGCTTTGGGAATATTGTGTGTTTAAGGTGCCAGCTGGGTGCCTGGCTCAGCAGCAAACTGGGCACGCTCCCTTACTCTGCCACGGACTGCTCTAAGGAAAACGTAAACCCTCTAAGTTTTAGCAGGGAAGAGCTCTGGAAGGAGATTGTCCAGCTGGGAAGAAACACAGATGGGGGGGTGTTACCATCTCCCCCTGCCCTCAAAAACCGTTGTCCCTGCCTCTGAGAACTCTGCATCAGGGGAGATCACAAGCGCTCCCTGGCCTTGGCTGAGATGGATGCGTGCCTGTCCTTCCCTTTAATATGATTTTTTTTCTTGATCATGAAAATAAAATATGCCCTATGGGGGGGCAGTAGAAAAAAAGAAAACCGTTACCATTCATAATCCCACTACCTACTGTATGTATTTTGGCATGTTTCCTCCATTTTCGATGCACAAGGATTCTGACTTACATTCACTTTTTTCACTTAACATAGAAACACGTCTCTGTGTCTCGAAAAACTCACTCAAAGCATCATTTGGATAACCACTAGATATTTTGTCACATATTTTTACAACAGTGACCAATTTCAAGAGTTCTACAGAAATAGTCATAATCATAATAATGCAAGAAGTTGGGGGCGCCTGCCCGCTCAATCGGTACAGTGAGAGGAGACTCTTGATCTTGGGGGTTGTAAGTTCTAGCCCCACATTGGGTGTAGAGATTACTTAAAATTAAAAAAAAAAAAGTAAATAAGATAAAATGTAAGAAGTCCAAACGTAAAGCCGTATGTTGCCAAATATTACGCTGCCAAGCAGCCCTCCTAACGGCACCTTGATGACCCTATTCTTTAATTCTTGATGGCTCCCCTTCTTTGGCCCTTTCCTTCCATGCTCAGCTGGGCTTATGGCCCATCTTGGGAGAACCCAGAAGACCCAGATCCTGGCATCAAACTGGAAGCTCAGGCTAGGAGAGGAGGCCACCTCCGCCCCACCCCACCCCACCCCTCCCCCCCAGCTCCTGAGGTTACTTCCTCATTCACTTCCCTGCCCAGACCAGGGCCAAACCCACACGCCATCCTGAAACGGACGTTTCTTTCTTTCCCTCTGCGTTCGTTGCTCCACACCTTCCTTCACCCAGGCCCTTTCTAACCACTGTACCCTTAAACCTGTTTTCAAAAAAGATTTGAAAGCGTAACGTGTACGTTAGAGGCTAAGGAAGCAAAGTGGAAGCTAAGGGAGGAATCGTGTGACCCACGCATCTGGGAGCAGCAGGACCTGAGCGGCTGACTGGGCGCGGGCGGGGGTGGGGCGGGCGCGGGCGGGGGTGGGGCGGGGGTGGGGCGGGGGTGGGGCGGGCGCGGAGGCTCGTCGGCTCCGCAGGAGGCCCCCTCGGGCCTGGGGCGTCGGGGATCTTCCCAGAAGGGTCGCAAGCCCCAGGTGGGCGTCTGGCGAGGTTCCCGCTCTGCCCCCGATTTGTGCGGGTCCCAGGCAGCCCCCTCCGCGCTCGCGCTCGGGGAGGCCGGCCGCAGAGCCCGGGATCTGGGCCGCGCCGGGCGCTCCAGGCCGCGGGCCCCCGGGGCAGGGGGGGAGGGGAGGGGGCGACCGCGCGGGTCGGGGCGCCGGGAAAGTCCCGCGGCCTGAGGGGCAGGGGCGGGGCGCGGGCGCCGGGAGGGGCCGGCTTGGGCGCGGCGGCCGAGCCGGGCTGTCCCGCCGCCCCGGGCCGCGTCGCCGCCGCTCTGGAAGAGGCGGGCCCCGCGCGCCCTGCGCTCGCCATGGCCGCCCCGGCGGCGACGTGAGCCGCTCGGCGGACCCCGCGCCGGGGCCGGGCCGTCCCCAGAGCCGCCGCCGAGCCTCCGGCGCCAGAGCCCCGGGCCATGCGGCCGCCGCCGCCGCCGCTCCTGTCGCTGCTGGTGCCGCTGCTGGTGCTGCTCGGCGGCCGCGCCGCCGCCGCGCCCCCCGCAGGTAAGCCGGGCCTGGGGAGGCGTCGTCGCGGCAGGTGGCGACCCGAGGGGTGCCCTGCGCGGGTGAGGGGTGCGGAGAGCCCGCAGTGGAGGCGGAGGGGGGGGCTTGCGCGAAGCCCGACGCGGGTGTGGGGTGTGGGGTGTGGGGTGTGGGCTGGCCGGCCGGGAATTCCGGGCAGTCCCTGGGCGGGGAGCCCGCGGGCTCCGGAGCAGCCGCGGGACGGCGGTCGCTCCTCCCGGCGCCCGCGCCCCGGGTCACCCCTCCGAGGCCGGAGACGCTGCCTCTGCCCCTGCGTGACTCGGGACACTCTGCGCTCGTCTTCTCCCACCCCCGCGCCGTCGCTCCCTGCAGCCGAGCGCGGCCGAGGTCCGCGAATGTCTCCGCGTGAACAAAGGAAGAGCGACTGCAGGGCTCGGGAAAGGGCCGCCTCTGCCCGCCACACGGTCTTCATCCTGGCCTGGCTGACCGCAGCCCCTGCTTGCCCGGGGTCCTCCTTCCCTGCAGCTGCGTGCGGCGGAGGTCAGCCACAGGCTGGAAATGTGACTCAGTCTGACTGGGGCGGGGGTGCGTTTGCTAGTGAGTTTGAGAGTCCAGATGCTCCTTTTCCAAGGATCGGACAGTTGGGGGGTTGGCAGCCCTCAGGGCAGGACTCAGAAATGCCCGGACCCCCCGTCGTGTTGGTTTTGACGGCAGGGAGTCACCTGGAACCAGACTTTTAATCCCAGCTCTGTTCCCATCCAGACAGTCCCTTCCCTGGGTCAGCCTCCTCCTTCCCTCTGACACTAACTGCCCATACTTATTAGCCAAATCTAAAAACTCCAAGAAAAGAAAAGAAGAAGGAAAAGAAAAAGGAAAGAAGAGCTCAGTGAGGAAGTGTTTGCTGGTTCTTTCTCAGGGACAGACTGTGGTTGGTTGGGAGTTCTTAAATAGTCTCAAGAATTGAAAAGTTTTCACCCATGTGAAGCTCAGGGTGTGGTTTAGAGTTGTTTCTTCTGCCAACATCACTTAGAAAGGTCCTTAAATTCCATAGCTCCGTGAAAAGGGGAGCCTTGCAGATGAAGATGTGTGCTCCGGGCCAAATGGTTGTTTTCCTTTGAGACAGATGGATTTGAATCCTGACTTCAGGCCTCCCCAGCTTCAAATCTTGAGCAATCTCTGTTCTGCCCTCCCTGGGCCTCCTTCAGTTGGGATCTGGGCTTTGGCAAAATGTTGGTAACTGCCTGAGCTGGGTGATGGGTTTAGTGCTGGTTGGTTACTGTATATTAATGCTACCCCTCACTGGGGGGGAGGGAGGGTCTATGCAGCCTTCGTGACTTGTCTGCCATTGAGTCTGACTTGGAGAGAAATATTTAGAAACTTTGCAATTTGACATTGCCCCAACACCTAAGGCCATGCCCCTCTTTCTAGTAATTATCTTTTATTGTCTTCTACCAAAGTTTGGGTCAGTGTGATGCATGAGAAATAAACTGGTGTGGGGGCACCTGGGTGGCTCATTTGGTTAAGCGTCAGACTCCTGATTCAGCTCAGGTCATGAGATCAAGCCCCATATCAGCTCCCCTCGGCGTGGAGCCAGCTTAAGATTCTCTCTCTCTCTCTCTTCTCTCTCCCTCTGTCGCTCCCCCCCCCCAAAAAAAAGAAGAAAGAAAGAAACTGGTCCTTCATCACAGATCCTTTGAAAAATAGCACCATGTTATACTAATCTCTTTTGTGACTACTTGAAATTTTTTTATAATAAACCATTAAAAAAAACTAACTGGGATATTTTTAAGAGAAACTATGTTAGTCAAAGCACAGAGTGGAACTATTAACAATGGTTACATGGTAAATGGGTAGTAGAAAAATTTCCACGCTTTTTCATAATTCACAATTGTCCTTCAGTAATTATGAGGTTGCTTTTATGGTTAGGAAAAAAATAGGTGTTGGAAGCAAATTTTTAAAAAGGAAAACTTAAAATATTTATCCCTTAGAGTTGTATGTTAAGGATAACATACATAAAATATTGGACCTGATCTAAATTGTAGTGTAGGGGAGGGAAACTTTTCCTTTCTTGCCTTCTAGGTTCTTCCACTGGTCTAATAATTAAGTTGACATGAGACAGAGTAACAGGAGAAAAACAGATTTAATTTTGTACCTATAGGAGTTTATAAAAATATAAGACTCGAAGAAGTGACCAAAGAAGGCAGCTTTCATACTTTTTAGATATAGAAACAATGATTTGCAGAGATTTAACCAAACAAGAGGATTTGAATTTGGGGTCGCAAATTAATGAAGAAGTAACAAAGTTTGTTTATACAGCCTTCTCAGCCTTGAATCTCCTATCTCTGAGTAAAGATGCCCTTTATCCTCCTGGTATAGAGAGGATACCTTCACAGGAGAGATTTATTTCCTGCTTTTAGGGGGATAAAGGAAAATCAGAGTGTCCTTCTTGCACCGACTGTTTTTTAAGTAACTTTAATTCCAAATAATTAATATGCAAAAAAAATCAACATGCCAAAGTGACATATTTTGGGGTGGCCTATTTTGCTCCCCTCAGTAGTAATGGTTTAAGCAGTGGCCATTTACTTTAGATTAAAAATTAATCAACTCTACTAAAGTGCAGTAAATCAACTGTCTCTGGCCATTTACCTGAATGTTGAAGAATTGAGGCTTCTCTTTGTATTTGTACCTGCTGCTTAGTTTTGCAGTAGATTGGAAAGGTACTTGTGCCTTAGAATTTTACTACCGTGATTTGCTGACTTGACCATTTAAAGCTTCTTCTAATGCACTGAGACCACTGAGAAAGATAGTAAATGCCCAACAACCTGAAAACCTTTGCAAATGTTAATGTGCATTAAGTAACTCTTTTCTTTTAAGATTTATTTATTTGCAAAAAAGCGTGGGGGGGGGCAGAGGGAGAGAGAGAGAGAGAGAGAGAGAGAAGCAGACTCCCCGCTGAGCACGGAGCCTGTCATAGGACTCAGTCTCACAACCCTGAGATGGTGACCTGAGCCAAAATCAAGAGTTGGATGCATAACTGAGCCAGCCAGACACTCCTGCATTAAGTAACTCTTATTTGCCCATCATCTCAACAGTTAAAACTCCTAAGTAGCTGACATGTTTTGGGGGGCAAACTAAAAATGATAGTAATAGCATTTATTAGGCCACTCTTCTAGGTCAGACAAGGTTTTATAAACATTCTCTGTCTTTATTTTCTCCACCATTCTTTTCAAGTAGGTAATAGCCCCATCTACTCTCAAGGAAACAGAACTGTCCTTTATAGGAAGAGACAAATGGTCTAGGTAAATAAGCTGATGTTGAGGATTTACTGATGAGAGCAACTTCCTGGTTACGGCTGAGGATTCAGGGAATGTTTTTTGACTTCTTCTCACCTGCAGGGTCATTGATGTTCATCATAACGCCCCATCCATGGAAGGATCCTGAGGGGTCTTTGGATGTCAAAATTAAATGATTAATTTTAATGTCAATTTATTTTAATGTACTTTATTATCTGTGATGTGTAGAGTTTTTTAAAAGATTTTATTTATTGTATTTGAGACAGAGCAAGGGAGTGAGAGAGAGAGAGAGCATGAGTGGGGATGGGCGAGGGGTAGAGGGAGAGGGAGAAGCAGACTCCCCGCTGAGCAGGGAGCCCAACGCAGGGAGCCCAAGGTGGGACTCAATCCCAGGACCCCGGGATCATGACCTGAGCCGAAGGCAGATGCTTAACCAACTGAGCCGCCCAGGCGCCCTTCTGTGCGTGATGTCTGTTAACCAAACTATCCTTTTGAGACCTAGGATAGCCTATTCTTAAGGTAAAGTCTCAATCGCCTGGATCCAGGGTGGATCAGAGGTCATGGGAGGGGCAGGAAGGGGGCACAGGAGGAGCTATAGTCATGAGGAGCAGAGGACGCTACACACAGGTGATCCCTACATTATCTCTTCTTAGCATTGATAGTTTATGAGTGATTACCCCATGGGCATGGAGAGGGGAGGGGAAGTGGAACTTTGTACTGTGAGCTTTTATCTTGTAGGAGCTGGGTGTCGTTAAAGGCCTGGTGTCCCCCTCCAGGCACCATATTCGTGCCTGCTGTAACAAATCACCACCAACTTAGTGCCTTAAAACAGCAAGAGGATTTATTATCTTACAGCTCTGGAGGTCAGAAGCCAGATGCTGGTTCCATTGGGCTAAAATCAAGGTGTCAATAAGGATACATTCCTTTCTGGAGGTTCTAGGGGGAGATTCATTGCCTTGCCTTCTCCAGCTTCCAGAGAAACACCGTTGTGATGACACTGGGTCCACCCAGCTATTTGAGGATAAGCTCCCTATTTTAAGGTCTTTTGATGAGGAACCTAAATTCTGTCTACAACCTCAATTCACCTTCGCCATGTAACCTAATATATTCACAGGACACAGACATCTTTGGGGGACACTATTCTGCCTACATCAGAGTCAGACCATTGATACAGTGCTCAGCACGGGGCTCAACGCCCTGTTGCGGGTCCCTGAAGGCAGAGTCTGGGTGACTGGTTGTTGCTCGCCACCTGCGCAAGCAGCCATATCATGAGGAATCAGGACACCCTGAAATAGTCACATCTTAGAAATTTACTTAGACAGCAGTGTCTAATTTGCCTTTCATTTGTGGTCTTGCATTTGCCCCTCACTACAACTCCAGGAGAGATGGCATTGTTCCACAAGTCAGGAGGAAACCGAGGCTCAGCTGGGGTGTTGGCAGGATCTGTGGCTGTAGGTTGCAGGATCAGCCTTTCAGCCTAAGCCCTTTGTCCATAAGTTCGGTTTTCTTCCCGCTGAGCCTTTATGGACACCTTTGATAGCAGGTCCTATGACCCTAAGAATGCTGACTCTTTGGAGCCAAACAATAAGTCACAGCCTAGCATTGTCCACCCACTCCCTGACGCAGCAGAGACCAGACCAAAGGGAGGAACTTAAGCCTAAAGCAAGGAAGGAAAAGGGGAACCTAAGCTCTGCCTGGTTTTCCAGTGGATGAATGCACCGCTGAGGACAAGAGGTTGGTTATGTAATCTCTGAAGGCGAGCATGCTGCTGGGCTTCAGGCCAGTCATTCCCCAGGTTCTGAGTGCCTGATATTCCAGGCGGGGGGGAGGGGGGGGAAACGGTCCCCAAATCCAACAACACCCAGCCTTCCTGGAGCTCCCCACTCTCATGTTCAGGGAGACTATGAATAAACCGCTGGCAATGAGGAGAGGCACGGATCACAAGGTGCTTGCCCTGTCCTCAGCCCCACGCATGAAACTAACTCATTCTCCTCATAACACCGTGAAGTCTGTACTGTACCCCTTTTACAGATGAGACAGCTGGGGCACAAAGAAGTTAAACAGCTTGCCCAAGGCCCTAAGGAGCGTGCAGCTTTGAACTCAGGCAGTCTAGTTCTGGAATCCATGCTCCTAAGCACCGTGGTGTAAACAAAGGACCCAGGTGGTGAACAAGCACCAAGACGAGTCAGGCAGGGACAGGGAACCCCGCACCCTGGGCATTTTACACAGGAAACCACTCTCGTAAGAGCAGAGACCTGAGGGAGGAGGGGAGAGAGCTGTGGCATAGCCAGAAAGAAGGTTCCAGAGAAGGAGCGGCAAGGGCAGGCTCTGAGTTTCCCAGGAACAAGGAGGGCCCCGTGGGGGCCGTGGTGCAGGGGTGAGGCATTTCAAGGACAGGCCTTCTGCCAGGTGCAGTGTGATGAGGCAGTTGCTAATGAGTGGGCACTCTTTGGTGCTTCATTGTGAAACCCTCAGATGTAAGACTTGTTATTGTCTCTGAATGTGGTAAGACGGGATTCCAGGAAAGTCAAATGTCAGAGTAAAACTGTGGGTCAGCTCCCCACACCTTGGGAAAATGAAAGCTGAAGAAAGTAGAGGGCACATCTGGAGACTCCACGTTTACGGGGAAGCCTTTCTTCTGGGCCACCTGTCAGTTGGGGTGGAAGTCTACTCTTCTTGCTCGGTCCGTTGGTGCTTCCTTCCTTAGCTGAATGTCAGGGTCTGGGAGATGGGGGTGCCAGGAGATGGCTCCTCCCCAGAGACGGGATGGTGAAGGGCACTGTGGCAGCAAAATAACAGTCCCCAAAGATGTCCACATTCTAAGCCGCGGAGTCTGTGGCTATGTGACCTCATGTGGCAAATGGGACCTTGCAGGTGTGACCAGGGATCCTGAGATGGTGAGATGACCCTGGATGGTAGGGCTCCGTGGGCCCAGTGTTATCATAAGGGTCCTCGAAGAGGGAGGCAGGAGAGTCAGACCAGAGTGGTGACATCATGAGAAGGAATCAGCCCTGTCTCTTCAATAAATGGTGCTGGGGAAACTGGATAGCGCCAGGCAGAAGAATGGAACTGGACCGCTTTCTTACACCACACACAACAATAAACTCAAAATGGATGAGAGATGTGAGAGAGGAAACCATCAAAATCCTAGAGGAGAACACAGGCAGCAACCTCTTCGAACTTGGCCTCAGCCACTTCTTGTTAGACAGATCTTCAAAGGCAAGGGAAACAAAAGCAAAAATGAACTATTGGAACTCCATCAAGATAAAAAGTTTCTGCACAACAAAGGAAACAGTTGACAAAACCAACAGGCAGCCTCCGGAATGGGAGAAGATATTTGCAGATGACATAGCTGATAAAGGGTTAGTATCCAAAATCTATAAAGAACTTACCAAACTCAACACCCAAAAAAACAAATAATCCAGTTAAGAAATGGGCAGAAGACATGAATAGACATTTTTCCAAAGAAGACATACAGATGGCTAATAGACAGATGAAAAGATGCTCACCATCATTCATCATCAGGGAAATGCAAATCAAAACCACGATGAGATACCACCTCACACCTGTCAGAATGGCTAAAATTAACAACACGGGAAACGACAGGTGTTGGCGAGGATGCAGAGAAAGGGGAACCCTCTTACACTGTTGGTGGAAATACAAACTGGTGCAGCCACTCTGGAAAACAGTGTAGAGCCTCCTCAAAAATTAAAAACAGAGGGCACCTGAGTGGCTCAACCAGTTAGTTGAGCATCCAGCTTTTGATTTTGGCTCAGGTCATGATCTCAGGGTCGTGAAATTGAGCCCCACATTGAGCTCCATGCTCTGCACAGAGTCTGCTTGGGATTCTCTCTCTCCCTGCCCCTCTTGTCTCTCCCTCTGCTCTCTCTCCCTCCCTCTCTCTCTCAAATAAATAAATAAAATCTTTTTTAAAAAGTTAAAACTAGAACTGCCCTATGATCCAGCAATTGCACTACTAGGTATTTACCCAAAGGATACAAAAATACAGATTCTTAGGGGCACATGCACCCCAGTGTTTATAGCAGCATTATCAACAATAACCAAACTATACAAAGAGCCCAAATGGCCATCGACTGATGAATGGATAAAGAAGGTGTGGTATATCCATACAGTGGAATATTACTCAGCCATCCAAAAGAATGAAATCTTGCCATTTACAACAATGTGGATCTAGCTGGAGGATGTTATGCTAAGTGAAATAAATCAGAGAAAGACAAATACCATATGATTTCACTCATGTGGAATTTAAGAAACAAAATAGATGAACAGAGGGGAAGAAAAAAAAGAGAGAAACCAAACCATTAGAGACTCTTAAGAGTGGAGAACAAACTGAGGGTTGATGGAGGGAGGTGGGTGGGGGATGGGCTGATGGGCATTAAGGAGGGCACTTGTGATGAGCACAGAGTGTTATTTTTTTATTTTATTTTATTTTATT